TTCTAAATTTGATTTACTTAAAGGGAACAGAATTTAAAGTTAACCAACAAATTAAAAGAACACTGAAAACAACAGGACATCAAAGAGTCAACCATCATCTTGCTTCATCCAATATAACAATCATTTTCCAAGATAAAACAAAAATACAAGTGCCTATGAAAAAAACAAAATATATTTTCAATGGTAAAGATCCTCCACTGTTTTCTTTTCAATAAATGCAAACAGTCTTTTGAAAGAAAGCAAATATTATAACGTTTAAACTACTGCCAGTATATACCTGAATAGTATATTTGTACCGACTCTCCTAAAGAAACAGAAATCAGTACAAAAATACGGCTTTTCTCATTGTGGGTTCTTTTTGCTGGCCATTCAGTCAAGTCAAGTAGCTGCTGATGATATCACTTGCTACCCCCTTATAGATAACATGTATATTTTCACTGTATTTATACCTCCTTTTTTAGATAAAACTAAATGGTGGCACTGCAGGTACAATCACTATGTAAGATATAAAGTACATATAACATACTAACTGAAAAAAACACCCAACTGAATATTGATTCTTAGCTTTCGATTTACTGGTACTGTTACACTTCTCCCCCCCCCCACCCCCTCCATGCTCTCTCTCTCTCTCTCTCTCTCTCTCTCAATCAATCAATCAACATGTACTTGCTATATCCTTTAACTTATATTCTATCCATACACCCCAGTCTGTCCAACATACAGTCCTAGTCCGGGTACCTTAATATCCATACAACAAGTGATCATACATATCAGTGTTTTTTGTTTGAAGAAACTTAACAGGTCAGATAGTATTTCACACCTTAGTTCTGTGTACATACAAATAGGCCACTTTCCACAGACCCCAACACAATAAATGGTTGACTAAAAGACACCTTATTAAGCCTGAAATAGGTACCTTTTACTGACACCTACACTATAATTCTTTGACTATTTTGTTCCTAATTATTAAGTCAGGTAAACATTTAAGGTAGCAAATACTTCAAATTCTACAAAACAAACCACCTGTACTTATCTTAGATACTAACTGGTCCAGTTATCCATAACAGATACCTTTTTAAGCCATGCCTATTAAAACTGTTCACTGACAGGTAAACAAAGTCTCCACCCTACAGTACCTGATAAACCAACCAGCAGTTATGAAGACAAGAGCAGGTGCCAGTAGTGAGTACCTGTACAATCTTTCTCCACTGCTGCCTTGAAGGAGGAGGAGTATTAATTAAGCAGCCGTACACAGCTAGCACAGTTCCGTTTACCCCACACTTATGGTGTGAGGCCTGAGCATGCAGCAAGGGTAATACAAAGCAAACACTAAGTGAGCCTTTCTAATAACAATACCTCTGATCAAACAGCCAATATATTACTGATTGCTTGACCGGGTAGATGTAAATGCCTGGGTCTTGGTAAGCATGTGTGCTGTTGTGCCATTGATCTAAGCGCTCTCAAACAAAACAACATTTCTTATTGTAATATAAAGCATGAGACATACAAGAGTGTTAGTGCAGTGCATGTTCTGATCACACATAGACAGTCTAAGAATGTCTACTGCCAAATTTTCCTTGTTTAGTACAACATGTTGGTCAGTTAGCTGTACAGATATGCCACTACTTTTTGCACTTGAGAACTAAATTTTGCAGATTTTTTTAATCAAGTTTTTTTTTTCAGAGAATCAATACATGCACACACTTATACACACCTATGTGCAAATGGAAAGCGTTGCAATATATACCTTTACACCACAAAAATAGCAAAGCTTACTTGTTAATATAGGGCAGCTGTCCATGAACAAACTGAATAACTCATCAACTTCTGGATGTTCAGGTGTGCACTTCCCTCTCAGTTGTTTTACCTGTACTGGCAGATCCCCACATAACAAGTTAAAGATATAGGTGTATGGTAGGTACAATAAAGGTACCAGAAACTAAAATTAACAGGTAGACATTGGACCCTCTGATAAGGACTATGTATTGAGACATATATTATAATTAATCATGTGAATAGATGATACAGTATCAATTGAAGTGGACAATATCCAAACACTGATATCAGACATTAAAAAAAAAAAACCAATGAAAATTTGTTGATAAAAAATCTGATATGGACATCTTTTGCAATAATTAACCATGCTTCTTTTGGTCATAAATAACTGCTAAATTTACCAAATACTTAAATGCCAGCCAATGTAATTAAACTTTCAGACAAATAAAAAATTAAGCAATACTTTCTGTAAATTTTCTTTACTTGAAGTATTCTAAACTTTTTTTCAGACAGAGGTGAAGGTACATTTTTCTAATGTGACCTTAGCTTTCAGTCACTTCAGGCAAAATGAATGAAATGAACTAATTGAATTTTAAAAATGCTCATGTCAGCTAAGATTTCAATTTCAGGAAAATGCTATCCAACAATTAACATTAAATGGGCATAATGAATATAACATCTGCCTATCAAAGTTTTTCAAACCTCCATCTCAAATACATTCACGCTGTATTAATTATATCTGACATGCTCTTTTCACTCAATATGATTGACAGATTCTCCTATTAAATCCTGGCGTGGTCCCCAGTTAAGTACAAAACCAGCTCCTGATCTATGAGGAGGTTATTAAAATACATTGATCTCTACTTGTGGTTTTCTGGTATGGACTTTAGCCACAGCTGTGTATACACACAGTTTAGAGATATAATGTAGAGCAGGGGATTTATGCATATTTGGGGGAGGGGGGGGGGGTCTTAATTTTGATATAGACATATTGACTAGAACACAAAAAAGCTGGTGATTATACAATTACATTGGAAACAAGAAGCATATTTATCTGTCAATCTGATTGCATTCAGCGAGAGTCTCCCTGGGGGTAAGATCCCAAAGAATCATATTATATCTGTCTAATTCGTGAGAAATTAGTATATATATTTGTCCTGCTAAATTTTACTAGGCTCAAATTAGTTTCACTAGTAAAAAATAGCTTTTATAGTCATGACATCTTATTTGAATAGGTTAACATGGCAGGGCCTATGATATGATAAATGATTAGGTCCATGTAATTGCTTATATTCCAAATGATAAGTTACATGCATCTGTCAGAGCATTTCAGATGGAAATTAGAAATAGGAATTACCAATAAAAAGTTGAAATAACATAAGTTAAAATCATTTTATAAGTCAGATCTGATATTCATTAGTAATGTATGTCTTACAGGTTAGTGTAAATTTCACACAGAAGTCTATTTCTATAAAACTTTTGCAGTGTACATTGTACAGGATAAACAGAGGGCATGCAGGTAAATGTGTTTGGAGGAGGGGATCTACAACCACAGGTATATTGATTCCTTTGGGAGAGATGTGGGATATAATGCAGCATACATGTTATAAAGAGATTTGCTACTGTTACTACCATATATGGTACAAGTATGTATGTGTGTGCATGTACGTGCATGAACACATGGGCACGTGCGTGTGCATGTGTTCATGCGTGCGTGTGTGCGTGTATGTCTGTGTGTGTGTAACTATTCAGTCAGAGGGTTACTAGTACCTTAGACCCTGTAATCTCCATCTATGGAATTCCTGGGGATCTCTCAATGCCCTGCAGCCTCAGCCTCTTCCTTATGGATTCAGATTATAAGTGAAGTCTCCTTTGTCAAATACTGCCCTTACTTCAATCCAGATTTAACATCACTTTTTAGACTTCTTGTCCTGAAACAATATTATATGTGAATGCATCTAAGTCTATTTCACCTATTTTGTCTCACTATAGTAAAATACCATCAATACATTATTACATCCAGCCATCTACATCTACTATTTCTTAAAGGGTGTAATTCATAAATTAATCTACATTAAGTCTTTTGATCTATTGTGTAACATCAAAAGTCAGTCCTTCATTATAAAAACATGGAAAACTCAAGTAGAAGAGTGATTTTTTTCAAATTTTTATTAACAAAGAAAAAAATACATATAAAATACCTAACAATATATAATTACTATCAACTCTCAAATTATCACAAAATGGGCCTTGATAATTTTAAATCTCTGCTAACGTGAGTGGTCATGTGTCAAATCTGCTTATCAGTATGAGCAAATATAGACATTAACTGTATTTACAAGAGTGCAAAGGAGTAGGTGGAGCATTAATTATAATGTTGGAGCATTCTGCTGCTGAGTCACACTTTTTCAGTGTTCAGTGTAAATACACTACAGTTTCAATCCATCCTATAGACACAAACAAGTGCAAGGCAATAGACTACATGTAACATTTACTGAACAAGAACAAGAATGCATAAATTTATAAATTATACTGCTAACATATTTAACAAAAAATATGATATTGTATCAATTATTAACAGAATGTCTCTATAAACTTAAGTACTAAAAGTAGGGAATATTTGCATACATTTGCGCAGTAATACATGTGTATGTAGGCAAAACGACTGAAAAAGAATTTAAAAAGCACCCACCCACATAAACCTTTCTTTTTCCCTCTCTTTTTGTGCTCTACAGTATATACAAACCGCGATAATTTATTTTTTACAGTTAGCTTCTCAGGTCAGTGATTAGATGCACATTTATAAGTTTGTACAACAAGCCTGGGATAGCCAGAAGTTGTAGAACTCACTTGTTCTTCATTACCGTACCCGCCAGCAACACTTCACACAGGTGCTAAACTAAACGACACTTCGCTTACTCCCTGCTGTGTTGGTCTCTAAGCAAACCATGTTCAATTTCATTGCGTTTGCAATTCAACTTGAGCTCAACTACCACAATTTTCACACTTTTCAGAACACGCGTGTACTTTTGAAGGAGAAACAAAATTCCACTTTGTATTTTGAATTTTGAAACTCTGTTGTAGACTTTTTTATTCCATATCTAATAATATTTGATTTTTTCAGGTTTTAAAGATTTGTAAAATTAGATGTTTTGGTGGAAATATTAATTTGATATGCATGAAAGATAAACTTTTCTCTTGCTATACTCATATCGCGCACATTTGTAAACACAAGTGAGTTCGAAGGTGGTCGCCAGAATCCCTTGCTTGAATCAGCTTTCCTGGGGGCACGTAAGGTGACATGATTTGCATAATTCTTGTCGCAGGCCATGGGACATTGCTTGGGACCGAGATAAAGGTATAAGAAGATGACTCTAGTGTGTTGAGTAAGATATGTGACTGTGTTGTACATGTACGTGCTGGTATAGTAAATAAGTGTGTTGACGTCAGTGTGTGGGTAGAGGGGGGGGGGTGTTCTTTGCTTCTTCTCCTTTAAAAGATATATAATATTTTGATCATACTAAAGGTGTTTTTTTTTGTGTTATTTTGATTTTCTCTTTGACTGTCTCTGATATGGTGCAAATGTTAATATAAAAATAATTCTCAAATAGAGATGTACTACCGTAGAAGTCCTGTGTCTAATAACTGTCATTTGAAAATAATAAAATACATCATCACCTTGTGCTACATGTTGCAGTCATAAAGGAAGAGTGAAGTGTACACAAACCAATACTGAATATATAGCAACTGCTTTATTTATTTATTTATTTATTTTATTTTTTTTTTTTTTTCATTACAGTTTTGAACTGGTAGATAATTCATTTAAAATTTATGTAATGTTCATATTGAAGTGCACTGGAATGCCAGTATCTTTTTGCATTATAAATGAAATATTGCTTGACTGTCTGGATGTTAGTATGTATATGTTAGTTAGTTTCCAAACTTAAGCTGCAGTACATGAATAGTTTGCATAGCTTGTCTTATCAAGAAACCTCTGTTGACCTGGCTAAATATCTCTGGCTATTCCCCCACCGTTTTGATCAACTCTGTCTTTAGCATAAGGGAAGGAAGTACAATGGTTATGCAATTGCTGAGTTAAGCGGTGGATATAGTGAGTGAGCTAGCAAAATGAGAGATGGCATGGGCTTCCCAGTTTATATTCTTGGCATATAATAATTGCTGTCAGATCATCTACTTCCTGGAGTTAGTTTAAAAACAGTTTACTTGAAATGATGTTGAATGCAGCAATGTGTACGTACAGAGTTATCTAGGTTATGTCTCTAAAGATGCTGCTCTGTATTATACTGGATGAGGTGAGGCTGCTTCCCTGTTAAGTATAAAGAATGATTAGGATAGAAAATGATATTGAATATTTCAAGGAAATTATTTGAGTCTTGACCTTTCATTATGGACATGTGATGTTTAGTGAAAGTTTTCAAGATTACAATGTATATATCAGAATATAAAGATTATTCTGTCAAGTTTTTGAAAAATAAATAGTAAATACATCTGCCCATTAGATTTGTCCATATTTCCCCTTTACCCTAAATTCATTCACATGTATTATGTATTTAGGTGTCTCCAGACTTCAGTCACCTGTCAGGTGTCCCCAAGGCCCTGCTCCCTGGGGTGGGGGGAAAGAAGATCCTGGATTACTGGTGGGAGGCCATCAAGGCGTAAGTACTAGTAGTATGTTCTGTTATATGGTATACTACAGTGCATAATCAGAGAAAGGCATCTTTTTACAATTTAGATAAGTATTAAGATTTATCTGTAGAGTGATCTGTTTTAGTTTTTCATATTCCATACTAGTTATGTGTATAAAGATTCTTTTTTTAAATTTTGCTTACCTTTTCTCACACAGTTTGTGCGGAGTTAAATTGCTTTGACTAAATTGGTTTTGCTTTCTCCAGGAGACAACTGTTCAGTGAAGTTTATCTGGTAACAAATGCAGACAAGTAAGTAGGCTTGCATTAATTTTTTTTTTTTTTTTGTAATATTTCAGATATATTGTTTATTCAAATGTGCAAAAAGCTATTAGATATATTAAAAATTCCTGTAACAACTAACAGCTGTATGATTAATATACTTAGTCTACCTATCTTTAACTTGACAGAACTGTGCTAAATCTATGCTACTTTTAGGTACAAGCACTACGAGAGATGGGCCACAGCCTCAGATTTTCCAGTTGAAAATATTATCAATGATGGAACAACAATTTATGCCAATAGGTATATAATATTACAAAGATATGGATGAAATATATTCAGATTCGATATTTTAATGCAAATGGACTTCTCTAGCAGCTAGTGGTAGGAATGTTAGTCTTTTTTATGTACAGACACAGATGTGTCTGTACATATAGCCATCATCTGCGTCTGTCGTCGCCGTCGCCGTGCACTTTTACCGATAACACGATAAGTGGAAAACTGTTTTTTCTTTTGGCTTGAAACTTACAGAACTAATGAATATTCATAATACGCAGGTCAAGTTCGAAAATCAGCATGATCGGGTCACTTATAGGGAATTTATGCTGTTTTTTCACTTTTTTCAGCATAAATGAAGCACCGATAACACGATAAGTGGAAAACTGTTTTACTTTTTGGCTTGAAACTTACAGAACTGATGAATATTCATAAAACGCAGGTCAAGTTCGAAAATCAGCGTGATTGGGTCATTTTTAATGAATTTAGGCTATTTTTTCTCTTTTTTCAGCATANGAAGAGGCTGCTTCTGGAACTGATGGGTACTGCTGTATATCTTTCAGAGAAAGGGTTACACTAATTTGTTTTGGGTTAAATATTGTCAGTATTATTGACCACTTTTTTGTATTAAAAGAGGTATAACCTCCCTGTATCACAGATTTTTATTTCTTTGTTATTGAGTAATTGTTAAAATGTTATACTTTGAATGCATACAAAGTAAGAGAAAATTAGTCAATGTACTTGCTTAATTGATAAGAGTTAAATTATATCTTTTAGATCCACAGTAACAAATAGTGAAGATGACCAAGTGCCAAAAAGACTGAATAGAGGTATTGTAGAAGTGTCTCCAACTGATAGCAGGTGAGTGTATTATAATAGGTGCATTCTATTTTGGATTTAGAACATAATACAATGTAAGAAAGTACTAAGCAGCATTTGCTCCAGTGCAAATGCCAAATGCCAGTAGAAATAATATCTGACCAGTAAATTTGTTCAGCAGGTACTGGACTCTTAATCTCCATTGGGCCAGTAGATAATTGGACCCTTTTGGTCCATGGGGCCAGTATGTTAAAATGTTTTAGGTACAGACTGTGTATTATAAAGATGTATTTTTGTGTTGGGGTGGAATTATGAACATTTAAGAATTGTTAATTTAATGGGTGTTAAGTTTTAAAGTGGTGATGAATATAACATGAACTCGTTATTCTGTGCTGTATCTTATATTTTTAGATGTATGTAAGGGTAGATATATCATTGTTAGCACAAACCATGACTAAAAAAAGTGTTTACATTTTCAGATGGATTGAACAGTTTGTGGTGCTGATTTTTTTTATGAGCTCAATTCAAAATTTTTAATTCTTTAGTATTACACGTTTCCTTGAGAAGCCACTGCCCCATGAAACAGAGTCCAGGTGTGCCAGTGTGGTCTTCTACTGTCTCAGGAAGGAAACCTTACCCCTGGTGCAGGAATATTTGGTTTTATATCCAGAAGTAGAGCAAAGAAATTTTGGTCATTTCATGGTAAAGTCCGAGTGTTTTTGGCTTTATGGTGCAGTTTTTAATGGTGTTCTTGAATTTCTTAGTCTAAGATAATAATCTTTTTTTATTTTATGAAACCATTGCAATGACTGCTTCATGGCATATTTAAAAAAAGAAAAATGATTTTGAAAATGATTATAAATAAAATCTTATCCTGAAGAAATTAAATTATTTGTGTGTGAGGTTATAGAGAACATAATTTGGCACAACAGGTTGTAAATTTCTGCCGTTTCATTTCTGATTCTGTGACATTTTTTTTCAGCAATGGATAATAGACAGCAAGAAGACAAAAGTATATGGCATGAAATTGCCCACTGGTTTTCAGCTGATTGGTCAAGTGGTAAGTGTTAACTAGGTTTCCATTTTGTTTCTTTATTTCAAACTATGATAATTGTATGTGAGATAATTTATTAGCCGGTGTACTGGAAAAAACATTCAACCTTAATAGACCAGAAAACATTGTGCTGATAATGGTGCAGAGAGTTATTTTTTATCTGTCTAGGGATTAAAAGATTACAAGGATTGGCTTGGTGTATTTGCAAACAGGCAGTCGGCTGAAAAGAAAAAGAAGGAAGCAACCAAACGGGCATATGCCAGGTATAACTAAGTGTGCTCTCAGGTCAGCTGTTTGGTTTGTGTGGTTATACCTTAATTCAGATATTAAAATAATGTCTAAATATTTATCATATTTGTTAATTGAATAATTGTTTTGAGTTCTTTCTCTTAAGTGAAAAGACATTGCACAGTTTTTTTTTCTCAGTGGCTTAATCTAATTTCTTTTTATTTTTTAATCAAAGCCATTTCTTTCTCAGGGTAGGTTTGTTTGGAAACCCATCAGATGGCTATTATGGAAAGACAATTTCAATGTCTATTAAGAACTTCTGGGCAGAGGTGACCATCACGGAAAGTGACCATCTTGTGCTATTACCTCACCCCTTGAATGACCCTACAGAGTTTGGTAGTTTGGCAGATCTTTATGGGATAAGTAGAAAAGAAGGGTATGTGTTAAATTTAAATGATCATGAGGGACTTAAAATGTTTGTCAACAGCATATTTTGGCCAACATGAATAGAAAATTTGTGATAATTTTAATGAAGTTGTTCCAAGATTTCATTTTATGTGCAATGCACATGGCTATTAAAAGAAAATTTGTAACAGAAAATTATCAGTGTCGTAACAATACTGGGGGCTACATATCAAACCATTATCACAATTTATCTAAGGAATGCTAGATCAAATAACATTATAGAAATAAAAATGTCAGCAACCACAAACACAATATGAAAAATATCATGATGTTGTAATATGTAAGATTGTGAGATAACATATTTTGATATTTTGTGATCCGAGACAAACATCTCTTTTAACTTCAGGTACTTAGGTGGTCTCAGACTGCTGCAGGCAACATGTAAGAAGTTTTACCAGTATTGCTCAGTAAGAGGGTGAGATTTCTCTCTGTAGTTTTGTGGGGCCTTTTTCACATTGAGATGAACATTTTTTGTTTTGTACAAATCCATTTTGAAAGCTTGACAACTTAATACCCTGGTTATTACTATCAGTAACAGGAGAGAGTCACCTCAACATAGTCCTTGTGCTGAGGTTGCTACATTGGGTCTTGTGAAAGGGGGTCTCTCTCCTCCCCCCCCTCCCCCCCTTCCCGGGAATGACATGTCAGGCCCAGTCAAACAGGTACAATACAGAAAAAATTCTTTCAAATGCATTAGAACCTTTGGAAAATCAAATAATAAGTAATCCTGCCAGCCCCTTAGGGTATGTATTGGCATGCTGAATGGTTATTACATTGAATGCATTTGCAATATTGTGTAATTTTTTCAAGGATTGCACTGGCAAAGAGAAACTTCACTCTGAAGTATGACACAAACATTCCACGGCAAGTGGTAAGAAGTAATATTATATATCAACAATCAAATTCTTTAAAAACATCTTGTAACTAGCAACCTAAACTGATCCAGGTAAAACCCTCCATTTTTCAATCTTCAGTCAGTTGAATGCAGCATTTCAAAATGTAAACCTTTGCTTGTAAGCAATACGTTAGCTGATCCCAGTGTCCATGGCATCTGACCTGTTGTTTTATTATGTAATATATTTATATTCATACTGTAATTTTCTCTTCTTACTATTTTAGTATTTAATCTTCATTGCAGGGGCTTGCTGGTAGTAGTGCAATAGTCACAGCCACTCTGGACTGCCTGATGTTCTTCTTTGACCTTACAGATGCTGTAAGTCTTTTCAAGTTGAAGTGTCTTTTCTTGTCAGAAATTTTGATGTGCTCCTTTACAATGAATGTGAAATTATTTAATTGCATGATTCTTAAACTTGTTTCCAATATTTGTTTGAAAGCAACATCACATTTATTTATTTTTATTTTATTTTATTTTATTTTATTTCATTTTATTTTATTTTATTTTATTTTATTTTATTTTATTTTATTTTATTCAGTTATTTTATTTTATTCAGTTATTTATTTATTTAATTTTTTTAAGAAAGAAGTTGCACAGCTATGTTTTGTTTTACATTTTGTAAGTTAGATCGGATAGTGTTTAGTGTACCTTTGTAGGACATGCCAAAGCCTCTGCGGCCACAGTTCATTCTAGATGTAGAAGTTCAAGAACTGTATATTACAGCAGGATTACAGGACAGAGTTATTCAGGTAGAATATCTTGCCTTTGTTACCATACCCATGTTTTGATAAATGTATGGTATAGATATAATCTATATAGCATTAGTACTCATACATTAAGTATGTAATGTTTGTCTGTCTGGTTTGGAAAAAAACAAAAAGCACACCTGAGTTTTCTTTAAAATTTCAGATTTATGTTTGAATTTGTTACTGCAATATTTTGAAAGCTACCATAACTGTCATACTCAAGACAAACTGTCCCTGACAATTTCCCAATTCAAAACCAATATTTGATATTTGTAGACCTATGAAGGGTTGGTTTACATGGACTTCAGTCAAGAACTGATGCAGTCCCAAGGACATGGTGAGTGAAAAAATGATCAAATGCTAAGAATTGAAACATTTATTTTGTGATATAGAATATCAGCAGATGGTTCACTAAATCACACCATCTCTGGTTGATTTAGCCTACTTAACAGACTTTGAGTTGACAACTTCCAATTTGGTGAGAGACATTGTTTTCTGCACACTGACTTGGACAGTCCATCTTAGGGAAGTTTTTTGGCCAATGTTTAAATGTAGAGTAATTCATAATCAACAGTTGACATTCTTATGTGGAACAAATCAAATGTGTATGTCAGCTGTTGTTGCATTTCCCACCCACTTACTCCTACAGTACTATAAAGTGCATATTTTAGCATGTGGGTCCTTTGAATTCTCATAATTTATATGTAATGGTTGCATAAAATGCAATTTAATGTAGAGTAGGTGTAGGTATAGATTACCAGCCTTCTAATGCTTTAATATTATATACAGATGGTGGTTTATTGCATCAGCTTGAATGGCATAAATGGCTTTTCATCATAAAGTTTTTATAAGTCAAATCTTTGAAGTATTTTTAAAAATCATTAAAAGATTTTAAGGCCATCGGTGTATATAAGCCAAAATAAGACAGGTTTTGTAGGTGGTAATGGGAGGACAGGATAGATCTTTTTTGCTATAGATCTTTTTGCCATTATGTCTTAGTTGTTTTATTGACTGTTATTCAATCATCTTTCAGGAAATTACATTCCTTTGAATATAGATGCCCTTCCTTCATTTTGGCTGGCTTATATAGCAGATCCTAGTGATTCTGGAAAAATTCATAGTAATATTAAGGAGCGATGGAATGCAGGTAGTGTATAACTTTCAGAAAAAGATTTTAGATAAAGCTAAGTAACAATTAAGTAAAGATGATTTATGTCACTATTTGGGACATCTAAAAATAAGTAAAAATTTGTAAATTAATTGGTTTTACTTTTTTGGATTGGATTTGAAATTTTAAATCATGTTAAAATGCCTAACATTTCTTTTTAGGGGATTCTGAAGTTATTGGTGCTATGCAAAGATTTGCTCAGATTACAGACAGTGCCAGGTAAATCATGTAAAGAAACACACCACACCAAGCATTGGCTGATTCAAGGGGCCCAGAAAGGGCAGAAACGGCACCCATTCCTTTCCAAAAGAAATGATCTCATGATCTTGATCATGAGAGAAAGAGAGAGAGAGATAGAGAGAGAGAGAGAACTGATTTAATATACAGTCTTTTTGATTTGAACTTTTTTATTTGCTTTGTTCTAATATTTATTATTCTATTTTATGCTTCTAGAGAGAGCATTGAGCAACATGACTGGGAGAGACTGGCAGCACTAATGGATGAGAACTTCGACCTTCGAAGGTACAACTCGATTAAGGAAGAAAAAATACTAATTTCATACAAATTAGACATTATAAAAAAAGTTTTAAGTTTTTACCAGTTAGGCAGGCTCACTATTATTTACGTATGGTTTATCCTGTCATCCTAAAATCTACTGTATAGTTATGAGCAAAAAAATCACTTACGAAGTCAAGCATAAAGACTAGAAATTATCACTGGGACTGCTTGTACACCTTTAGTTCTATATGACAGAATTTCAGACCTTAATAAACAATGATGCATAATCCTTAAAATGGAAAGAAATGTTTCACCTTAAAAAAAGTCAATTTTTTCAATCAATCATTTTCATAATTAGACAGATATTTGGTGATGCTGCTCTTGGTGAGGCTAATTTAAGAATGGTGGAGATAGCTCGGCAGTTTGGCTCTGCTGTTAAATTTCCTGGTAGTGGTGGTGCTGTCATAGGACTGTGCCTGGATAAAAACAAAGTGGTAAGTTTGTGAAAATCGATATTTCTTAGTAGATTATTATTAAAGAATTATTTGAGAATTTTCTAAGAGCCTTTGGGTTACTTAGACTGGGTTCCCACAGATTTAGATCGATCCATCTGGATCGACTTAACTCCCTGGGGGTTCATGCTAAATTGCTATCAGCCGAGTGTGCACGAAAGTTAATTACCCTTACAGCTTTTAGTAGGCAGGCAGACATTTAAGCCGGCTAAGCTTACAGCAATCTAGTGAGACTCCCGACGGGGATAGATCAATCTAAAATCTGTTGGAATGCAGTCTTAAAGTTTATATTTATTGTGAAATATTTATTTCTACAAAAATGGGTCTAAATTTTACTTTACACTCATGTCAACTACTTGTTTCTTTGAATGTTTACTTAGTTGTTCTTCAATTATTTAATTATTCATAATCTGTTTTAGAGTGACATGATAACTGCATTCCAAACTGAAGGTTTTGTTGTATGCGAAATCTTACCTCATCCTGCTGAATCTTTATCATGACCAATTGGACAGCACTGCCGTATCAAGATAATCCATGTGTTTTAATAGTAAACAGACTGTGCAAATTATAATTATCATACAATACAGTATCCATTGTTTTAAAATAATTAGGATATATATATACCCTTGACGTTTTTTATAACAAGATGAAGTTAAATCATGTAGTCTGTAAAGTGATGGAAACTATTTATTTGTTTATTTATTTATTTATTTTGTGTATTAAATTGATCCTGAAAAACATCACACATGAGAAGCTAATCTTAAGTTGATTTAATTGAAATATATAAAAATGACATTGGTATTCATGTATAGTGGCAATTGTAATCAGAGAAACAAAAATACATTTCCATTATATGCCACTTATACTTTTATAAAAATATAACAAAGTGAATCAATCAATAAAAAAAAAGATGTGGCAAAGCAAGAAGTTTGTCTTACAGAAAATGAAAAGAAACATGAAAAATGTATATTCACATTTATTTTTATTTGTTTGTTACGTTTCATTTGTTTGTTGATTAAAAGGTTATCACAAACGTTTTAAGTGTATCCAAATCTCAAAACTGAGCAACTTATTCAGATAAATTTAATATAACTAAAATCAGAGCACAATTTTAAATTGCATAGTTATGTTTTCTGTTTTATACCACAAAATTAAAAGAAAGACTATATGGCAAGAAATTAAGTAAAATTTCCAACAAGACAATGAATACAGCAAATCTTTGTTGAGGAATATCAGTTGACTAGTGCTCTAAAATGGACTAGCAATGGTTTTGGGGACAGTCAAAGGCTTAAGGAAACGAGGAAATTTGTGTGCCGGAAGATGTATATTAAACCCAGAACTTTGATGCTCTGAAGTCAAGTTTCCCTGTTGGCTCTTGGACACAAAAAAGGTATACTATACAGTGAATGATATTATTTACGTCCCTAAAAAGTGCCCTTAAAATGCATTAAGAAGATTGCGTACACATTGTTGGCAATTTCAAGTCCGTGTTGTCAGAGTATATCTGTTTAGCACACGTTTCACTATCAATTTCCAAAGGCATCAGCCTGAAGTATTAAAGACTTGCGGTCAGCGCCAACATAGAGTGCCTCTGCTAAATGCCGCTGTCCTGTTCTCCATAAGGCATTGACGAACTTATAAAAAGCATCATCATCTTTGCATTCCAATATGTCCAGAAGTTTAGAAGCTTTCCTGTGGTCAGTAGGCTCCAGACACACCGCGTTTCTCTCCGTCATGGTAAGGATCCCGTCTTCCATCAGATAGTCGCAGATGAGTGGTGCAAGAAGAAGATCGTCCACCATCTGGCCGCGGCTGCATCTCAGAATGTATAGCTTTTCAAGAGGCATAGATCGACCTGTAGAACGGTCGGTTTGTATTTAATAATTTGTTTACATTTAGTCATTTATGTATATAATTATTAATAAATTGTTTGCTTGACTGGCAGGCATGAAGTGCTTAAACAATGCTTATGACAAGTTAACATGACAACTGTGTCAGGGCATGTCAAACAGCTACCAAACGCAAATTTTAGAAAACCCACAAAGTTAAATTTTTATTATAATCAGTGTGGTATGTAAGCTTCATATTAATACATATCATGAAACCTCTGCAATCTAACTTTCTCAATACCTTCCATAACGGCCCGTAGTCCTACGGCAGATACAGCAGCTTTCAGTGCGTTCAAGTCGGCCCCCTTCAACCGCACCCATGTCTCCAGCATGAAGTAGATCTGTACTTCTCTCCCATGCTGCTCATATTTAATACGGATGTCATCGATTATCTTCTTTGGTAGTCTTAGATGCACGGCAACCAAGATCCAAAAGTCACCTCAAAGAATAATATCAGATCAAAGATAAAACTGTAGTCACTATGTATTCATCATAGAAATCACTGAATGTTGTAACTTGGACCTATTATACGAGTCCAAGCTAATTACATGTATCTCTTAAGACGTAGTGATAAGTGGGTTGATGAAGTTGAATGGAATCCAGTCTATATTATCTATACGCATATTCACTATGAGAAGTAATGAAAGGACATGAGTAAATCAGTTTGGAAAAAAAAACGATTTTTACACCAGCATATCAACTTCATATTTCTGACGCGATTTGATTCATTAAAAAAAAAAAACATTTACCTATTTTATCTTTCAGTTCCATAAACAGACCATGCAATTCTGATGGCACGCTATCTGCTGCGGGTTCACTAGATTGGTACCCGGGTGACTTAAGGTTCTGTACCTCCTTAAGTACCTGTTCTTGCGCGGCTTCCAGACTAGTCAGCTGTTGTTGCACGGTGGTTACAGCATTCTTTACCTGTAGCTGTTCATGCTTGACAAGATGGATAGTTTTATCATGCTGATCACTTGCACATTGAATTTCATCCAGTTTTACGCCATTTGCTTGAATTGCCTCTCTTATAGAACCCAGAAGACTTCGTACTTGAATGGCGTCGATATTTTCCCTGTCGGCGGGTTTTGTGCCTATTGACATTGCCTCATGCAGCGTGCTACTGTGGTCGCACGAGCTTGTCCCGTCGCTTACCCCTGTGTCTCCGACCCTTTCACTTTCAATTTCTTCTTGCGTATCGTTTTCATCGCCAATTGACCCGTCTTCGTTGTACATTCGTTTTTGGGACATTTGAAGAATGTCTGGCGTCTGACACGAAGGCCTCTTCAAGTTCGAATCGTCGGATTTGCCCATTGTGTCGCCTGGATAACTTTTGAAATGTCGCCGAGCATTTTTTAACGAAAGCTTCCTTGGCGTACATAAAGGTATGAAAGGCCGACTGACAATGGCTTCTCGAAAAGTCTGTGAAAAGTTCGGATCATGAACACCAACCCATTTGATCCTAGGTAACTTACAAATTTTGGTAGTACTAGCACTAGTCGTGTCGTCCACTAAAATGCCAATCACTCTGGTAGCATGCTTCTTATACTTCTCCCACATCAAACGACTCAAGTGACTTGCTCTGTTGCTCATATGCTGGCTTGACAACAGTAAAATGTCTACTGGTTTCGATGTACCGAAGGCTTGTGGGTGGTACAAGCGCCCATCGTAAGTAGTGGAGTCTACTATGCATCCTATGCTGTCGACTATAAAAACAATATTTTCGTTTCTCAAACCTGGATGAAACTTCCACGATTTTACACCACTCTCTCTAAGAGCTGCCATCAAGGATTTTTCAATGAAGTCTCCATGAGCACTGTCGTCTTCATCGTGGTATATGACCAGCTCGTATTTTTTAATTTTGTCGTCGTCTCTCTTTTTTGTGTCCGGCAAATATGAAGCAATCTCGCAGTCAGTCTTGTCATTGATGTTACTGCGTTGTGCTTCTGCCATCTGAAAACACAGATCACTGCCAATTTACAGAGATACAAAAACTGTGTGTAAACTCGAATTGATCTACATTTGGAAAAAGTCCCTTTCTTTTTTCCAGACTTAATAAAACGAACTACTTATCAAATTGTACAAACTATGGTAAAGCCCGTGCTAGCCCATATCTATGATCTTAAGCGTAGATCGCTTTGGAAGATATGAAATATTGAAACAGATTGGCCTATATGTACTCAATGAAAAACAATGTATTAAACAAGGGCTCTGATATGATGGCATATTTTCTATTCAAAATGGCTGAGTTATTGATCTTGTATTACTACGCACACATTATCGATTAAATGTGTCGTTTGGATAGCTTCAAAAGGGGAATCCCCTGCCATTATTGATTTTTATATTCCCATTTGTTTCACAATGTGTTAATTCGAATAAAAATAAAGAAAATTTTAAAAAAATTAAGACTTTAATGATCTAGTTCAGGCGGTTTAATTATTCGTATGCAATACCATTAAATATTCATGCCTTTCTGCTGGTATGTATATTTTGGACATTCACGTGAGAACAAGCAGCTGTATTGCTGTCGTACGTTACGAGGATCTATATTGTAGTCTGTATTGGAACAATATTGTCTGTCTGCGTGCAACCTTGCTATATATATGTGTTCTGTCATTCTATAAAGATTTCATGCTGTTTGATGAAGTAATTCAGTCACTGATTATTAACTTGATAACTGGCGAGTTTTCTTTTGGGGAAAATAGATATTACCCTGGTGACACTTACCTTGGTATGGCAAGGGCAACATAAACTGACTCAGTCAGTGATTCGATGTTCACAGGCAGGGTTAACTGCCCCGCGTAGCTGGGAATCGGCAATACGGTCACCTGTGTTCCATTATCCCCAGGGCAGTCTGAGATCATCTGAGAATTCTGTTTTTAGCTCTGCCATTTATATACAAGGCACTTTCTTGCTAAGCCATGTTCAGGGCGTCACCAAAGTCACCTTGAAATGACGCATGGTTTCATTCCGTGATACGTGGCGAGCACATATTCAATTGAATGATATTTAATTGCCGTTGATTTAACAGTTAATTTCCCTTGCTATTTATTTATTTATTTATTTATTAAGTTAAAACTCCAATAAGGGATTACAGTTCAGTCCAGGTGTTTATGTAAACTGAAAAGGGCAAGCCTCATTTTTTCTAATCATTACATGGCCGCGACAAAATGTTTAATTTACAGCCCCACGGGTGTATTACAATGATGAAACAATTGTGTTCTCGTGTCGGATAATTTGCAATTTTTCCATCATTCGTGTATCACAAGTGACATTGCGATTTTCAGATCAATACCTACCGTAAAGCTTACGTTTTTATGACGAACAATTTGTTTATGGCCCATCATGATGAGTCATGCGCTAGACTGATTCAATTTTATTCCTTGCGTAAAAGCATGTAACTATGAAATAACTGGATTTGGTTAATAATTTTTTCATGCGCTACAGGAACTTTAAAAATAGGGAGCTATAATTATTATTATTATCATTATTATTATATAGTTTCTCTTCACTAGTAAAGTGATACCCTTGCGTTGGCTTACATTGCCCATATTTCAAATTTGTGCCAATCACACGCTTATTCCTATGCCGATTTCGAACACAACATTTAAGATCTGACTGTAAATTTTGAAACCCGGTTGACTTCAACCATTTGTATGGTGCACAGTGGAAGAGTAAATGATATCGATCTGTATACGTCTTTTTCAAGACTATCCATGAGTCTGTGCTCTGTTATAACTCCTTGGTTATAGGTGATTTTAATCCGCATACAATACTCACACTTTACCGTAGCAAGTCTTTTTTTACTTATCTATTTTAATAGTTTAATTTAGTTTCTTAGATATATTACACAGCTACAGAGTGCGCTAGTAGTCTGCATCAAAATATTGCATCGCGCTGATAGGCCTACTTAAATTTTGGATACTATTTTAGAAGCTCCTGATATCAGAGGGTATTACATAGGATTGCCATTGAAATGATCATTTTTTTCATCCAAATTCTTGCTTCCTCGATGCACCTTACTGGCAAAGTGTAGCAAGTGTCCTCCCCTGTGTCCCGTACTTAGTATGTAGGCCTATTAAAACCCACAAGAGGTTTATACACTTCCGACTTTTCAATCATCGCTAATTAATAACGCAGCATTTCTTTAGATATAATTTCTCATTCATTGAGATGGCGTTAAATACTACTCATTTCTAAATATCATTTTGATAAGGTAAACTGTCCGTTTGTTTTCCCATCACTTGCGTGCCGAACCTTAAATGATCAATAACACTTAAAATGCCAATGTTAACATGATGCGTGCGTCTTGAGGCCTGCATTGATTATCGGGAAATTAAATGCTTAATCTTTAAGAATGATTGATATAAAGTTTAATCAATGAATGGCATAAATAATACATTGTGTGCATACTACAGCCTGTAGGGGGTATTGTCCACGATGTTGTGCTTAATTAACGTCCTTGGATACGTATAACGCGAGCGTTCGTTGATGTTATTAAAAGATACCCCTAATCAGTGATGTTATGAGAAGAGGTCCACATAGTCCTGATCCTCATGATAAAGTGACATGGACAAGGACCTGTACTGGGTGATGGAGGAATGTCCAGCACCATTATGGTCAGAGTGTGCCGGACAGCGATGACCTGATGATTAGTGACTTGGTGGCGGTGGCACTGTTATCGCGTGATATTGTGTCGGAGACTTCTGTACTACAATTTTGCTTATGTATCACGTTATCATAATTCACAAGACAAGTGCCAGCGTTAACTAAAGCGAGCACAGGAACATAAACGTGCCCTAGAGTCAACCAACTACTAGTATTATTTTCTCTGACGTTGATAACGTCGTTGGAAGTTTGAAAGATTACCTCTGCTGTACGTTAACGTAACCATGAGGATTTTCATCGTGTACGAGAACGAGCGTACCACTCTGGACGTACCCGAGGGGAGACCTGTGTTCGAGATAAAGAAAATCATTGAAAAGAATGTCTACCTGGATGTGTTATGTTTCGGAGAAAGCAGTCCCAAGTTTCTCGCCCTTGTGTACGGTGGTGCTGAGCTAGAGGATGACTGGATATTTACTGACGTCGTTCTCTATCCCGGAGCCACCATTCGGCTGTATATGAAAGAGGCGGTGATACCTGCTCTCAAAGTGAAATGTTTCTTTCTTAACAACGGTAAATTGGTAGAAATCTATCACGAAGGGAAAATTAGGGATTTGAAGATTAAATACATACGGACCATGATAGCTCGAAAAACTGGTATTCCCGTGGGAGCATTCTTCATTTCTGACGACGGAGGCCGAGAGTTGTTCGATGAGAACACGCTAGGGACTTACGACATGGGACGCGGGCAGACTGTTTACATGAAGACGTGGGAAGGATGGGAGACGCTGCTGAGATACGCTGTCGTCGGGTACACAAACGGGGTCCAAGGTGAGTTATCCAGCGATGAGAAGGAAGCCCGATTCCAGATTAAGGTTGCCATGTACATCGCTGCGCACTACGGCCACGAAGCCCTGGCGGATTTCGCGGTGCAACAGGGCGTTCGTGCATGTGAATGGACCGGAGAGCACCCGTTCAGACGTTGGACCGGTGGATCTCACATGCATCTTGACTGTAAACGCTCACCCATTCACGAGGCCGCAGAATTTGGCCATTTATCAGTCGTGCGCCGTTTTGTCGTAGACGATATTTATGCTGTGACTGCCCGTGATGGCAATAACGTGATGCCGTTTTCCTTGGCACTGAGATACAAGCACAAGAAATGTGCAGCATTTTTACTCTCCCGAACATGGACCCGTTTAGACATTAACGGCAAGACCGTGCCCATCCAAGTTTGCGCTCGCCTGATGGCATGGGCGGAACAAGCACGTGTGCGGGTATGGTGGAAACATGGTGCAGAGAAATCTTCCCTGAAAAAGAAACCATTTTTTGACCCTGGTGTTTTAGTTGGATCGGAGAAGATTAACGTCGACGGATTTGCAAAAACTGATACAATGTATGAACTTTCTCCAAAAGCAAGATTCAGAAATTCTGCCGTCAAAGTTATGTTGCGTAACGCCACTGTGCGTCTGCGATCTCTAGTTGATGTTTTACCTAAGGCCCCTAAGTCTGTGTTCATCACGCAGGCGTCAGTTGAGGAAACGATAGGAAATAAACCGAAAAGTACTTCTTTTCCAAACATAAAACCCCTGGCTAAGAACAAGTACCGAAACCAACTGTTAGACTTTGTTGCCAAAAAAGTGAGCCAGAAGCGTGACCTTGTTGACGGACTATCTCACTCCCTGATAACTGACACCAAAACACAAAGTGACTCGGTCAAAAATTCTAACAGTGATAAGGAAGAGATTATTGCAACAAAGCATCCAGAAACTTCCAAAGCTAAAAACGAACCACTGCGTCTTCCTCCCATAAAACCGGTTCGTAGACGACGCCGCGTGAAAGCTGCAACTGTAGATGCACCAATGTCTCTTCCCAAACTGAGCAAGGAGAGCCAACTGAAACCCTTCTTTAGGGCACGCTCTAAGTCAGAAGACCCAGACTCCACTTTAGACGTGTTTGAGAAATACCGCGGTCTCCCTGCTCGCGACTACGCCATCAAATGTCTTGGCCGAGCAAACAGGTTCACTACCAAACCGTGGCTGACCCAAGTGCGCATAGCCATGCAGTTCAGCTACTTCAATGTAAAACGGGCGTCCTTGGTAAATAAGTCGTAATATTTGTCACACCTTAAAAAAATGTGGTGTTTTAACTCTAAACTAGAAAAGAACACTATAAACGGTACAGTTTCTATTAAGACTAGATCTTTGCTTAAGCATTGACGGGATAGCAATGTCTAGACATGTGCATTGAATAGCAACGGGGTATCTTGCAGAGCATGCCCACGCTATCCTTGATAACGTGATCACCTAATTCGATTACTTAATTACGAAGGTTATTAATTCGCTGCAGATTATCAACAAGTTTCAATGAAACGCATAACCTCTATCGAAGTACTTTACTTTTCAATATGATTTTTCAGTATTGTATGTATTCATTTTTTTAAAATCAAATAAATATTACCAATGTGAGTACACTCAGCTTAATTCGTCTTTTGGAGATCTAGCATTGATAGTAATTTTGAATATTAAAGGGATAATAACTCTTCGCATGATATCTATATTTCACTATAAAAACATTGTGAATAACTCATAGAAATATGATATATTTTGTTTTACAACAAAAACGGCAGTTATAGCTATTTTTTCTGATATCTGAGCTTGTCTTTAGATCACGTGACCTCCAATGATGGCTATACTCTGTAAAAATCTCTTAAGAGATTTTAACAAAAAACCAAACTTTTTAGAAAAAAAACAGGGCCTAACTTTGAATGTAAAAATGGATTCATTAACCATTGGTAAGTATGGGAAAATTGTTGTTTACTCCAGGAAAATTCTTTTTTGGGCCGAAACGAAGAGTTATTATCCCTTTAAGGAGTTGTTTGTGGCTAGTTTAGATTACGTTAAATGCATTGATACACTCTTGGGTGGTCACCACTTAGATAGTGTATATCACATAAATCTAAATAATTGGATTGTACTGACTACTAGGCCTATACAGAGGTCAATTCATAGACCATCGATAGGAAAATCCGAGATGAGATAAAAGTCAGCAAGAGAATGGATATGATACATCGTTTTTGTTGTTATTTTTTAAGTGTTGAAAATAAGGATTAATCGTCGTGATTGATATCATTTAGTATGACAAATGCAAAACTCTCTCTCTCTCTCTCTCTCTCTCTCTCTCTCTCTCTCTCTCTCTCTCTCTCTCAGAATGTGCACACGGATAAAAGAAACAACTGAGGTCTCTCCATTACCAGCTGTGATTGCAGTAGAGAAGACAGACTCTAACCAAAAAAATTGTTGCAGATAACCTTCACATTCCGCCATGAATACTTCCGTGTCATGTGCCACTATAAAATGGGCTTTAGTGTGTAGCCAGCGTTGTTTCTGATATTTCTGACCATAAACATCAAAATTCTGAGTAAGAGATATGTGCATCATGGCACTATGTGTTTTCCATTAAGTATTTATTGTAAGGAGTGTCGAAATATACGGATTTATATTATTTACAACTATACTTCTGGCTATAACTTCATAAACGAACTTCATAATTAGAGTTCTTGATATAGAGAGTTCGTGGGATTGAGCTTTAAAAAAAATAAACAGACTGAGAATTTCTACTGACTGAAATCATAAGCTTCCTACCACAAACCGACTACAGTTCTAAATTTAATATTACTCTATAAACAAAAACTTTAAACCCTCTTTTCTTCTTTTTGCCTTTAAAGTTATTTTGAGACAAATGTTTAGGTTGATTAAAATATAGGAAGATTTTAAAAAAACCCACGAACAATTCTTGTAAGTTCTCCTGCAGTTAGTAAAACAACATAATTCATGAATAGAACGCGATGGAGCACAATGCATCTACATTTCTTTCCTGCAATATAGTCGCGTGCCAAAATCTCAGCCGTCCTTGTTTTACAAATCTCGTGGCATGGGAGATTATTATTTTTTTGTTTGATTAAACCCAAGTTTATTATTAATCTTTTATATTTCATGTTTATTTAACGTAAAAGATTTAAATCTTATTACCCAATAATTTCACGAGCTATACACTGTAAAGGTAAATACAATATAAGAGTATCGCACCCCCCTGCTACATTTCAACATTGTAGACAAAGGGCTAACATTTTATTTAAAGTAGAGGAGGGCAGAAATAATACCCTAGAATAATAACCGAAAAGAATTGTACGCTACATTTACAAAGGGTCCCTAACCACACTGCCAGAAAGATACAAAAGGCAAGGCCACCAGAGAACACGGCGTAGCGCGGTAGTTGCTAAGTTCTACATTCGAGGGCTCTCATCTATGAATATCGCTTGCAATTCAACAATGGATTTACTATTTACCAAACAAGCCCTTCCAACTCTTACCTGCTCTCGTGTAAAAATATAAACAATAAGTAAGTGATTTTATAGCCTCGGTCACGTTCATGTGAACAGCGGTGCAACCCGATTTTCACTTGTATTTAATCGTCCTCGTCGTGCCGAAAAGGACACAGCACGTATGTTGACCATGTGAGAAGATGCTTCTTGTCCTGCGAGCAATGCAGAGATGAGCCCGCGTCTGGTCTGGCATTTACCATGAAATGATCCTGTCCAGCAGATTATGTAAGAGATGATTCTGATTCAGTACAATGGTTGTGTTAAATGAAGGCGTGATTGGTCGTCATGGATCGTCATGTTTTATTCACGATGACTGGTATGTTGAGGTTTAAACTGTATTTCAAGGCGAACTTTATCAAAATGGAATCGCTTTTCCGCTGACTGAGAGGAAAGGAAAGTATAGTCTAAAATGAGGGTGTTCGTTTTATACAACGACGAGCGGACTGTATTAGATATCCCGCAAGGGAAAACAATATCCGAGGTCAAGAAAATCGTCGAAGACAATGTTTACCTGGATTCGTCGTACTACACGGACGACTCACAGTCTCTGGTGCTTTCCTACGCAGGAGGCGTGTTGGAAGATGACTGGATCTTCACAGATATTGTCCTCAATCCTGGCGCCACAATCCGCGCTGTGATCACGGAGACAATTTTCCCAGCATTGAAAGTATGGTGCTCATACAATGGGAAAACAGTAGAAATATTCACCGAGGAAAATTTAGTAACTTCCCCTGTTTCTGTGTCTAGGGCGTTAATAGCTCGTCGAACCGGTATTCCCGTCGGCGCGTTTTTTCTTGAAACATTAAAAGGCAAAGAACTTTTTGACAATTGCGAATTAGGTGTTTACGGTCTGAAGCGCGGTGAGCAAGTGAACATGAAATCCTGGGACGGTTGGGACAAATTTCTGAGGTACGCAACACTGGGGTACAACGCCGGTGTCATAGATGAACTAGCCTCGGACGAGGCTGTAGCAAGGTTTCAGATGAAATGCGCCATGTATATTGCCGCCCACTTCGGCCACGACGAGCTGGCGGAGTACCTGTTGCAACAAGGGGTGAAGGCGCACGAGTGGATAGGAGATCACCCCTACAGAAAGTGGTGCAAAGATGAAGAGCATATTGACTGTAGAAGAACGCCCGTTCATGAGGCAGCAGAATTCGGGCAACTTTCCGTACTTCGGAGGTTCGTTCTCGATAACGTGTTCGCCGTGACGGCACGTGACGGTAACGGTACGTTACCCCTTAGTCTGTCCCTACGCAACAAGCAAAAGAAATGCGCCGGGTATCTCCTAGCAAAATCGTGGAGTCGAATTGAGTTTGATACAAAAACAATTCCCATTTCCCTCTGCGCAAAGATGAAATTCTGGGCTGAACGAGCCAAGGAAATGGTATGGTGGAAAATGGGCTTTGAAAAGTCGTCCCTGAAGAAGAAGCCGTTCATAGACATGGGGGTCCTAGTCGGTATGCAGGGTGTCAACGTTGATGGTTTCCCTAAGAGAGACACTCTCATCAAAAAGGAAATGCCCGGCTGGCTGAAGAGCGCAGTCCCCAAAGGCCCAGACCCTGAACCATATTTTCACAAAATAACTAGCGAGATGCTGATACAGAGGATGAACAGGACGAGCAGGCTGTCAAAAAACGAATCCACAGATAGTTTGCAGCCCAGGGCGTCACTCAGGTCCCCTCGTGCACGGAGCGGGGACAGCACAACCCGTGTCCGTCTTCCTGCCATCCACGAATCATCAAAATACAACACAACGCATCAAAACAACTCCTCTATGCCGCGAAAAGAAGTGGAGTTCTCAGACAATCTAGCCAGAACTCAAAGTAAAGACAGTAAGGCAACTTTCATACAGACTGGTTTTAATAGATCGAAAGACAATGTGTTTGATGACTCAAAATCAGAACCAGCCCTAAGCCGCCCGTCTTCTAAAAAACGAAAAAAGAAAGCTGCAACCATAGACGCGCCGATCCCTTTGCCACAGATAAGCAAAGAGAACAAAATGAGACCGTATTTCCACCCAAGATCAAAATCTGAGGATCCTATGACGACTTTGAAATTGTACGAAAAATATCGAGGCATGAAAGCCCGGGACTATGCCATCAAATGTTTAGCCATATCAAATACGTTCAAGGAAAAACCGTGGCTAAAACAGGTCCGCATGGCCATGACGTTCGCAGAATATGGCGTAAAACGCGCGGCCTTGGATCCAATAAAACAAAGGAAAATGCACGGACGGTGAAAAACTTACTGTTACACTGAATTTGATGTTAGAGTGTAACATTGAATTAATTATCATATCAAAATACCTTAGATTTATACTTTTAGTGCATTTACATCTATCATATTTAGTAACGTGATAGGATCACTCTATTCACATTAAATTGATGTAAAATGTTTTATTTGTACCTTCAGAGATTTGAGCATAAAAGCCATTGTCATGACTCAATATTATTTTCACACTGTGTTGTCACGCTGTGATCACTTATTGACTTTTTGTAGTCATTAGATTCAACCAAACGCCAACACTAGTGCTATTATCGTGGGATTTTTACTGACGCAGGCATAGGAAAAAAATATATGAATAATACCAAAATTGTGTTCAGTTTTACGTATGAAATTTTAGATTGTAAGATAAGAATTTGTCAACAATGTTTTATATAATAAATATGAATTTCATACACTAAAATGAAATTGTTTTTTAAACTTGTTTAATATATTGACTCATTGACTCCAGAAACCTTCAATACAAAATCGGCTGAAAACGGAAACCCGTCGTATGCATTAGGCCTACGTATAAAAGCGTACGGTGCCTGATCACTTAAAAGTCTTTCATAATTTTTCTTTTTATATATCGCATTTATTCTAAAAATTATGTACTAAAACTTTCAAACATACGTTCAATATGTATGAAGCATTAAAGGGAAATATTTTTACGTAATTACACCTCGAAACCTATAATGAAATTAACATAGAAAAATCTATAATATTTTTCCGCAAGAGTTCGTTGAATTTCTAAAGATAGTGAAAAGATTGATCAGGCTTTTGTTCGACATAGTCATATGGCCGTTTGTCTCAGAAGGAACACTGAGTGGAAGTGGGTATCTGACTACGACACGATCAAGGAAACGGCATTCAGCTTACAAAAATGTAAAATCAATCATACACATTTAAAATCAGAGAACCATTCGTAAAGGGGAGTTTGTCGGGGAATCACAATGTATGCTGTCAATATGTCTTAGGTTCTTTGGAGAATCGCTGAATTCTTAATTCTTTGTATTGTTAATCGTAAAATTAAAAATATGTAGAAAAAGTAATACTAAGTTACCAACTCGATATGATTTTATTATAAGAACTGACATTATCAAATGGTATTGTCACTAATTCAATAATTGTGCAGCTGGCCATGTTGCAAAATTTTGTCCGCAATATGTATCGAGCTCAACATTTTTTTTAACAATTGCCTTTTTAAAGCAGGCACCCTTAACATATCGTATCTAACATCTAATCAGAATGAAGTAGACCTGATTCTTAAATTTTGTTTGCCCTTTTCATTTTATTAACCAACTGATTTCGCATTTTCCTGCACACGAAGGCTCGGGTTAACAATGATTTAGCCGGTTTCTATATAGTCATTTCTCTAGTATAATGCTGCCGCAGTTCACGTGTCACAAACAAATATTTAAAACACGAAATTTGTTGCTACTCAATATTGAAATTTTGCTAAGAATCAAACTTAGTGAATGGGAAAGTAATGTGATATAGAAAGTAAATAATTGTATCAAATTTAAAGCATTATTATGGTAACCTATGTTAGGGAAGCGTCGTGTTTACCTTAGGGGGTTGTTGGGTCTTACGTCGCATATAGCTTCCCTCGAAAGGGAAACTGACAAAATAATTTACAGATATATTTAAAAAAATGTCATTATATATAAAATTGGCACACTGCGTTTGCTCTCTGAAAATGTAGTTGCTGTGAATTCCTGGAATCTCTTATTATCAAATTTTCCCGGTTCTCTCCCCTTCTTATTGGGAACGTTTTCCAATCGAACCCTTTCCACTGAAACTACAACCACATAGTGTTGTTATTATTCCCTATTGTTACAAGTATTATCATGCTAAATTATAAACACGATAGCCATTATATTCGAGGGGCAGCAAAATTCAATGGAATCTATACAAACACATGCGGGTCTCTAAGACGCAAAGGGCGAACGGCTCGACACAACAACTAGTTTTTGTGACACATTTGGTCAAAGATTGTAGCAAGCGCTGTTACGGGTTCCCTTCTTTGTTTGTTGCCGTTGATGATGTAGCTGGGGCTAGACGTGCTGAACCACCTTCCCCTAGGAACTGGCTAGGAACAAGCCAGAGAGGCTTCCTCAATTCCATCTCAAGTGACTCTTTTGCTGGACGTGCCATGGTTAAATTACCGGACTTACAGTTTGACAAGGTGGGCATGCACACGCGCTATTTGATCAAGTAGTGGTCATCTCTGAAGTGGACATTAGTTGAATGGTCATTTCATTGTGACCAGTCGCTGCGGTCCCCTGACAACCATCGCTTGGAAGCGGATAGTAGGTGTCAAGTGATTGAGTGGACACTGAGAAGTAATTTGGACTTACTAGCGGGAATCGACCAAACTTATTCACCTATACTAAAGTGTGTATTAGTTGCATCGTAGGTGTCTGAACGTACATTGAAATAACGTTTTAAAAAGAACAAAAACCATACTTGAACACCCACGTAGAAATGTACCACTATTGCATACGAGGTGATAGAGAAGGTATTAAAATTGGACATTGCGAGCTACATTACATCATTTAATCGCCGATAAGGAGGAAGCCGTTTTATTGCATTTTAACTGTTGCCCTGTTCCAGCAATCAAACAATTATTAACTGACGTCACTGCGCATGACATTATATGGAACGTTTCTGACGGGATGTAATCAAATTTTGCTTATTTGCAGCGCTAAGATGACGAACACGGCTCATTTTGAAGTCAGCGAGTTTTCATAAACACCTCACGGCAAATTTAATTAAAAAATGCAAATCTTCGTGTCATACGAGGGGCAGCGTACGTCCCTGTTCGTCCAAGAGGGAACGACGGTTCAGGCACTGAAACTCATGTTACGGGGCACAATCCATGTCCAAGCTGAGCTTCACGTTGAGGCAGAAGATGGTATGACCCGGGAGAAAAAGACTCTCAGGCTCATCTACAATGGTTCTGAATTGGACGATAAATGGGTTTTAACAGACGTTGGGGTTTTCCCAGGGTCTACGGTTCGAGCGGTCATTAAGGAGGAATACCTACCCAACCTCTACATCAATGTGGCGTACAGTGAAGAGATCATTCCAATAGTAGAAAAAATCAGCATCAGGCACAGTAAAGTCTCAGAACTAAAAGCCATTGTGAGTAGAAAAACCGGACTTCCAGTTGGTGTATTTCGGCTGGTCAATAAAAAAGGAATGGAAATGTTCGATGGAAATGACTTAGATTCTTACGACATCAAAGTCGCCGATGAAATTCGCATGGATACTTGGGACGGTTGGAATGATTTTCTAAATCTTGCCGTCATGGGTTTTACATCTCATGCAATGTCCAAACTTTCCAGCGATGAACACGTCTCGAGGTTTCAAATGAAAGTCGCCATGTACATTGCTGCCCATTTTGGACATGTTGATCTAGCTATGCGGCTTATTAAAGAGGGAATACGTCCATACGAGCCAGTTGAGGATCACCCCAGCCGATCCTGGTGCTCTGAGATAGAACCTCATGTTGACAGTTTTAAGACGCCAGTTCACGAGGCTGCTGAATTTGGAAGCGTCGACATCATCAGAATTTTCGTACAGAATAACATATGTTGTATTTTCGTTGAAGATTTCAATAAGCTGATGCCGCTGAATTTGGCATTACGCAACCAACGCAAAGCTGTCGCCTTGTACCTTCTATCGAAACAATTCACCAAAGTTGAAATAGGAAACACTGGAAAACATCTTTCTTTGAAACTGTGGGCCAAGATCAAATTCTGGGCCGAAAAAGGCAGAGAGCGATCGTTTCTTTATCACGGGGCAGATAAATCAACGTTGAAACGCGGAGCGTACGTCAACCGAGGTGTTCTTGTAGGCCAGGGAGTAACAGTTGACGGATTTAATGACTCACCTATGTCCTCTAGACCAACAGTAAAGCAGAAAACATCAAAAGTAGACGAGATTAAACACATACCAAAGCCCAGTTATTTGGTTCAACGAGAGATGCGCATTAAAGGACATACCAACGGAAAGCACAGGCACGGTATTCGAGCTGGGGTGAAATCAAGGGTTCATTATTTTGACGAAAATGAGGAAAAAGCGCACAAAAGTGAATCTGCGAGCGAAGCGAGTGACGTGCTTCATCTGCCACCTATCAGAACACGCCCTCTAACTCGTAGTAGCTCCCACTACGAACTTTGCCAGGGGAGGGAGTTTGAGTACGAATCGCGTCCTGATACTCGTGCCAGCAGCCGGTCTGCCTTCATCGCCACCGGTCACGTGAACGTCCGCGAGCACGCTGAGGATGTTGACATTCACGACCAAGAAGCTGGTAAAAAAGAACACATGGAAATGTACATAAGCGACATTCATAAAACGAGAGAAAGCGAATCACAGCCGGCCAAACCACTGGCAACTAAACCGAAACGCAAGAAACGGATGCGGACTGTAAGTAGTCCAGCCGCAGTTCCAGAACTCAACGTTGCGCAAGCAGATTCGCCACCGGATCCTCCACCAAGACAAGCCACCAAATTGACAACGTACACAAACGCTAGTTCACCAGACAAACCAGTCTCCCGCGCAAAACGAAAAGAAAGGTCCACACGCTCCGCCCTCAAACTTGCTAAAGCCAAAAGCGAGGGCGCTTTGATTCCTCTTCCGGAGGTCAGTTTGGAGAGTGGACAGCGTCCGTTTTTCTACTGCACAAGTAATGAATCTGACCCTCGTCTGTCAACCCTCGAAATGGTAGACAAATATCGAGGAATGAAGAGCCGTGATTATGCCATCAAATGTCTTGCTGCAGCCAACACTTTCAAGGAAAAACCGTGGTTGTATCAGGTTAGGTTAGCCATGAATCTTGCCACCTGTGGAAGTAAAAGATACCTACGGAATCCGCGCGCTTATAGTAAAAGAGACTTGTCCAATATATCTAGATCTGTCTGAATAACGCAACTTAAAAAATTATTCCTAAAGGTTTATTTGATCATCTGTGATACGTCATATTGTTTACCCATCTTGAATGGTAATTGAGGCTCATGCAAAGCATATCTGCGATGTTATATATCAAATAGTATTTAAAAGGCAAGAGGGGATTTGTACCAGAGTAAAGTTGGTTTAGAAATGATTACCAATAGACAGATTATATGGTAGATATGACACATGGTAGTCGTAAATAACACGTCGAAACTCGAGATCTCCGACGTACTGCAGAAGATTCAAAAATTAAAATAAAAAAAAACGTTTTAAATCAGTATTTTCAGTGAACCAGAAAGATGTTTTGAACGAGAGGTTAAGGGAAAGCACTGAAAGCCCATAAAATGATCTTTTATGGAGTAAGGGGGTTTGAAAATTCTCCTCTATGCCTCTAAAACGTGTCTGTGATATTAATTTAAGAACAAAGCGCACTTGGACTGAGAAGGCCAAACGATGCACATCACTAGCTCTCACGTAATAGAATGTTTAGATTATTTACTGATATGATATTCAATCAATTGTCATTAAGTCAACTTTTACATTGCCAAATAATAAAGAGTAAATGATAAATGAAGCATGAAGAAAAAGAGAGATGTTTTATTTAACTGTCATATTATCAAATAGTACTACTAGCACATAACAAAGCCCGTTAAACACAAGGGAGAGGAACTTAAATATTTAAAAAGTAAACACATGGGAGAGAGTGTCTACATTTGCAGGATTTGATTTGACTATTAATGGGTTTGAATGCTTTTTTTTAAATTTAAAACAAAATCTTTAGCAATCATGTGGATGGGGTGGGTTAAATCATTCTTCCCAAAATTGTCCGAATGTTCATATAATATTCAAAATGAAATTTTCTTTTTTCTGTTTGTATAGCCATAATAAATATTACATCAATAATGATTTGTTCCACAAATGAATAACTGTTCTAGTCATCGCATGAAGATTACTTTGGCAGTAAGAAAAATTATTGACTAAATGATTTCATCTTATAGAACAATATCGTATTTCTGGCATTTAAAGCTTTTTATCCTGAGAGATGCACAGCAGTAAAATGGTTTGTGAACATCCAATCCATCTGATACAACTACGGTAGCCTAGCAATAAGTCACTGTAAATAGTCTCAGTATTTTCTTTAAAAATCGTATTCTACAGAAATCAAAAGTTTGATGAAATTTCAAATAAATTTTAAATAAAAGTTCAGTTTGAACAACGCATCTTTTACAGCCAGTTGGGCGTACCAGCTACACCTTTAGCTCACAATTGAATGGCTTGTGTCACTGTGTTAGAGAAGAAATATTGATTGTGCTATGTAACACGGGCATGGTGAGCTTCGCTTACATGGTTCGCTTTATTTGGGTAAACAAATTGTGTTATGGCTGCATCACGTCGTTTCGCAGTCTATTTCTATATTGGATCTACAAAAGACCATAGTCGAACATTGTTGTCAGCCAACTGTTGTGAATAAATCCATTTCCTCCTCCTCTCCACTCCTACCGCGTCACCCTAAAGAAATTTAGAGGATCTCATGTGAGGTGGAATTGTAACAAAATCGAAATAGGGGAGCAGATTGTTAAATCAAAATGAAATCTCCTTACTAGAAGATAATAGGCCTGCTGAATTTGTGAGTGCTCGCATCCAAAAGCGTAATGTGGCATTTATCATTGATAGCATATTTAGAATTTGTACCTGGACACTTCCGTAAAAAAACCCAATGGAAAATTATACATCTAATTTGTTTCATAACTAAGTCTGGGTTCCTGAATTTGAACAGATTATTGATCAAAGTTAGAACTTCTTAATGATGGAATCCGCGCGGTATTTGTTATTGCACGCCGCCCCCCTCTTTTCATATGTGTAGGCCTACATGCATTTCTCATTGAAATGATATATTTCGACGTTAAAATGTGAAAATGTTATAGATTCTGTTTTGTTCCTGTATGTGAGCAAATTGTAAACAACGTGAGATCCCACTTCTTAAAGAAGGAACAACCGCTGAATAATTTATTATTGCACAAAAAATTACCCCTTTTTTATCTTCAGGGGTTTTAAAACTCCATTAATTTGTTGTTGTTGTTGTTGTTATCATGTCACAGAATGGCTTGTGTCATTGTGGTAGAGAAGAAATATTGATTGTGCTATGTAATACAGGAGTGGTGAGCTTCGCTCACATGGCTCGCTTTATTTAAGTTAACAAATTGTGTTGCTGCATCACGTCTTTTAGCGGTTTATTTTCATATTGAATCTACAAATGACCAAAGTCAAACGTTGTCAGCCAACTGTTGTGAATAGATCCATTTGCTCCTCTTCTCCACTCCTACTGTGTCCCTCCAAAGACATTTAGAGGATCTCTTGTGAGGTGGAATAGTAACAAAATCGAATTAAGCCTTAGGGAATTTTGGTGTGATATAATTTTCAGAAACTGAAGAGGGGTTCAGGACCCCCTGACCCCCCCCCCCCCCCTTCTAAATCCGCCACTGTTAAAAAAATCCTGGATCTGCTCCTGTTATGTGCTCTCTTGCCTTTCCATGTCTCGAATTAAAAAAGCAAATCTGTAGACCTCATGCAAGGAATTAAACAAAAGTAGGGTACATGTACATGTACATATGTACCATAGTAGGCTTACTTGGATCCGTTCCCGCTCTGATTCTGATTCTGTAACTTTATTTTAGTGAAAAAAAACTCTACAATTTAATCCAACACATGCAGGTTTATCGTAGTGAAATAAAGCAAAATGCCCACATTTTCAAAAAAATTAAACGCGACGTTCAGGTGAACTGAATGCGGTCGCACACCTGATTGTGCTGCGGGCCACCCAATGCGACAGGCTGTTCTCTCAAACGCTTTCACGCCACAACGTATGGATATTTACAGTAAAATAACTTTTATGTTTTTTCGTCGTTCTGAAGGAAACAAATTATTACGTATGCTTCTTGGTTTTCTCACTGGTATTTCCGCCTGTAGCTTTTATTATATTTAATAAGGCTTGTTATTTACAAAATCATCACGCTAATATTGTCACCTTCAGAGGGGGGAGGACCGGATACTGTTAGTCTAGCACGCGGAGGGCAAAACGAATATCAGTATGGCGACTGGTATAAACTGTCAGGTAGCTGCCCTTGGAGCCGGATTGGTTTCCACTGGAAATAATGTAGAAGCAGCATAGCAGACATGCCTTTTATCAAGAGGGCCGTTGACCCGGTCTATCTTAGCCGGCGATCACCTGAAAATGATCAAAATGAGGAGTTATTGTCGGTTTCGAACTGGACCTTGTCGCAAGCTCTGCGACAGTTAGGGAGTCTTGTTAAACATGCCAACGACATTTTTGCCGATGTGGCACTAGAGTTCCAAGCGATAGGGAAGAGGACCGAGAGGCTGTCACAGAGGACATCCAACCTGAAGGAGTTGGTCGAGGCTCTGGATCACAAAACTGCGATTGTTCGTAAGTGAAAGAACGTAGTACAACTCTACTACAACTTCTTACTACATGTCACCAACTGAGGCTGTGGCAATGGTTCGTTCTGTCGTTTCTCTGATTTATGAAAGTATCAGTGTAATTTGATGATCATATTGAGCATTGTAGTTTCTTAGCATTCTAGGGTGGTATTTCAGAGTTAGGTTATCATTCAGAACTCGGTCAGATACACGTTGTTATCAGAGTATCGGTGCACTTGACCCGCAAACAACGATTTGTAAACAAATCTACTCCAATCAATGGGGTGTTCTGACATGCAGTTTAATATGGAACATATCTCCTCTTTAGTAACTGAAATAACCTATCACAGTGGCCAGACTGAAAACGACTTTTTAGCAGGAATGTTTTGCAGACCACTAATACATGTAGCTCATTATTTTTTCTATGGCAAAGCATTTGACGACACCTGGGCTAAGTTTTGAATCAGTGACATGTGGTGATGTCTTCATGTTGTTTCTTTTGAGATGGGAAATTATGGGATATACATGTAGTTGTTATTGTAAATTTTACTTATTTCTTCACCTTATCTAACATCTTGCAGATTTAATTCACCGACTTCCCATTGACCACAACAAGCACTGTTGAAAATGAGTTAACATGTCAAGCCTCTCTGTTTTTAGATTAAATGGACAAGTTGGTCTGTTCAATTAACTACCCAAAGGTTCTCTGTTCTCCTTTTCTTCTATATACCAAAGCCATCATTTCTTCACCCTGTCCAAGCCAGCTTTTGTATTTACAATATAGGTATGCCTGCAGTAGCTGTTTCCCATTGTTGTTGAGTATTATTTGTTGATTTTGGAAAATTGCGCATGTGGTGGTACAGAGGTAGAGGTACTATGACAAAAGAAGTACTGCAAGACTAAGTGTGCAATGGGTGTAGTTTAAAGGTAGGGGGTCAAGGAAATAACCCAATTATGGATTTAAGTGAGAATTAAAACGAATGATTTAGAAAGAAAGTATCAGCGTCAGTCTTTCATTGATTTGTACCTTTGTCGGTTCTTGTGAGGTTTGAAAAAGCATATAACTGGTTTCTTCCTCAATCATTTCTACAAGATAAAGTGTACATGTTCTATTTAATTGGGAGATTTGATATCAAAATTGGTAAAGTGATCCATATTTTACTATTAACAATTTTGTTGGGACTGTTTGTTCAGCTGAATTTTGGTTATTTAAAAGGAAGAGAAGTTTAGTCAATGTGTCTCAATTTAGAGGGAATTCCGCTCGCATATTTTTTTTACATTGTGTGCTTACATTGGTTGATTACACATGTGTATGGATTGCTGTGAATTTAGCATGTACTTAGCAAGCTGTCTGAAGGCAGCACCAGCTGTTTTAGGTTTACTTTTCCATGTCCAGCTGCTGTTAAAAAAGACTTGGGTTGGGACAAAGAACGAAATATTATATTTACTTTTATTTGAGGTTTCAGGTAATTTTGAACTTCTCAGTTTTAACCAGATAGGATTTTCCCCATAGGCTATATTTATTTTGATAAAAGGAGTTGTTTGCATACATCAAATTAGATTCCACTTGCCAAATTCTATTTTAAGGTGATGTTGTTTTAAATAAGTCAAAGGTACTTGTAAGGACAAAAAATAGATTTATTTAAAACACGTGTGTCTGGGACATTAATGCAGGTTCTTGATAAAACTCGTTTCACATTCATCAAGTTAAATCATTTTCTATCTGAATTTAAGATAAAATCATGTAAGTATTGCTAAAGTAATAAAGCAGTAGCTGTGCTATAGGCTACTGAAATGGTGTTAATTTCTTCCTCCTCCATACTTAAGATACAATACCTTATGATCATAGCTGTATACTTCCTATAATTCCTGGTTATTAAGAGGCCATAAATAACTCTGTCACAAGCCACCCTACAAAAAACAAAGATGCCTTAGATAAGTTGCTATTGCATGCACCTGACATTATGTAAAACTGCCCGAGTTTGGATTCACCAGCTAACGTTATCCTTACTTTGTGTTGACCAATCAGATAAAACAAAAAAATGAATTTTAACAATCAAATTTGACTGATTGGCTAGGTTGTTTATACTTTTGTCATATTTTTTATCCAATATATGTCAAAAAATTCAATTAATTAAAAATCAGATGGTAATTGTGTTGTACTTGTTATGCTATAAGGCCGTAAATAGAGTTATTAAGGTGGAAAATGAAAGAAGATGCCTCTGATAATAACCACTGGTGTATCAGGCATGCATAATATTATGCCTAATTACCCCAGTGATTTTCCTTTGATGTTTGCCCCTGGTATCAGCCCAGATTATCACTAATGCCTACCTTGATTACATCATTGAGTTGTATAGGAAGACTAGTTTGTATTATGAAGTGGGCCTTGTCCTTTGTTTATCTCTGGTAGATATGAACACACGATAGTGGTGTAGACTTAAATCCCTGTGCATTGTAAATGTTTGGTTTCACAGAGTACCTGTACAGGTGATAGAGTTGATGTAGTAGTGGTTATCAGTGGTGGTGTTGAAAAGATAGCATAAAGGATGTGGACTGTGATGTTACTTCCTACTACCCAAAAATCTAACAGCATTTGTAATCTGTTGTCTATCTTATTATGAAAATTTCCTGCTCATAAAAGTTTCTGTAGGAGCTACATTTAATGTTCTTAACTTTCTGTATTCACATAGACATAATGTCTAATCACAAAATTTGTTCTTCTTTCTGCTATAAATATAGGTTCTGTTGTGTATGAAGGTATTCAATTTTTCTTTGTCATTGCATTTTATTGCTTGCCCAGACCATACTGTTGAAAATCAAATGTAATCCATCTACATTGCCTCATTAGAATAATGGCAGATTATTACCAAAGCAATTAATCTTAATGTGGTTTAACTGCTGTGATGATCACCAGCATGGCCCCGGCTACCAAAACATAAGCTCAGTACAATATGGGCATATGGTGATGGGAGGAGAGATGACATCCCAAGGGGTACCATGTCTTTTCTCTTTTGTTGTCACTTGACAAATTGAGGCTGTCTCTAAAGGGGACATTGCACTGTCTAGCTACAAAAAAAGAAAAAAAGGGTGCACTGATTTCCCTTTTTTTTAATTGAAGTTTTGTCTGTAAGCCATTAATTATTTTGAGTTATACTCCCACAGCATCAGATCTGTACCATTTGGATTTGTGATGTGTAGGTTTTTTCACTTATAATACAGGTTTCCTCTTCATGCTTTGACATTACTTTAAAATGAGCATCTGGTGCCAGCTGGCAGAGTTGGTGTCAGGGCTTTCTCAGGGATATAGAATTTTTTCATAATTATATTCAGCTTGATTGGACAGAGGAGTAGCTCAATGTGACATGAAGTCTCCTGACTAAGTGCAAAATTGCTGAAAAGTATTAATTAGAGAAGGTGCAATCTGCTTATTTTTTCAGCTTCAGAAAGCACTTGAAGACTTTAAGGGGAAATTGTCTTTATTTTGCCACAGTTGAAAAACAAAAAAGCCAGTTGTTTTTACTTAAAAGTTATGATTTGAACTCAGGGAAGCACCATTAGGCCTTTATTTATCAGTTGTGAATTTGTCTCGTATTGCACAGCTAATTGTTAATAAAGGTCATGTTTCATTTTTACTTAAATGTTCTTAATAAAGAGTTCAGTTGGTGATCTCACATAAATAAAGATGTTCATTCATAAGTAGTGAAGTGACATTTGAACTGAAATATCTTGCCCCCCCTGTACTAAGGTTATGTTCATTCATAAGAAATAAAAGCAGTCATCCATTTTATTTGTTTATGGGGTTTTCATTCATTAAAAGTGAATAACATTATGAACTTTTATTGCACTAAAAGGTCCTAATGAGTTGTTTTCTACTACTGCCCCAGCAAGGTGACAGAGATGTCCATTCATGCTTATTGTATGACATTTGAACTGAGAACAAGCAGGCTTGTTTTGACACTATCGACCAGTTCTGGCAGATCATGCTGTGTTGATTCAATGTGAGCAGATATGGAGTAATTAGGCTGCTTTCATTACCTGCAGACATGGCTAATTGTGGATAATAAATCAATCACCTGTGTTATTAATATAAGCAGTGCCCGAAGATGCCATTAATATATGGAATCCTGTGGGAGTTAAAGGGGGGGGGGCACTTTTTGTGGGGGTATCAGTATAGGGTCAGGATTTAGTGTCATTCTAAGTAAATTTTCCAGAGAGCCCAAGGTTTGCCCTGGGTGGTTCTTGTGGGCATGGGGCAAACAGTAATGGGTGTTGATTTTGGTGTGGGGCAGGCAGTGTATGGATGTTCATATGGGTGTGGGTCAGACAGTGGTTGGTGTTCTTGTGGGTTTTACACTTTTTACTATGTTTGTTAGATGAATACATGCACAGATTCATTTGACTCACAAGGTTCATTACATTTCTCATAGTGTGAGAAAGTTTCAGAAACCAAGGAAACACAAAAACTGTTGTTGAAATCTTTGAATTGCTCTAGAACAAAGTGCGCTCTTAGTTACTGTCACCAGAAACAACATGTAAATACATGTTTATAAAACAAAGTAATCTGATATATGCTGTTCCTTAAAAGAATACACACAAAATCTACTGTAAATGGAGTGCAGATGTCTCTCTTTTTTTCACTGTCTCAGTTTAATTTTGCCAGTAAGCATATGATTTAATAGTTCAAATAAGTGCCAGAGATATATATGCAAAAAAGTCCATAAAAATATTTGAATTAGTTGGAATCTTACTGAGAAAAATTTTACATACTAGTATTAAGATTTAGACCCAGTTTAATGTGTTCATGTCAAGTAGCAACCATCACTCTAGTACATGTTGCTGGAGGACTGAGCCTTTCAAAAATTGTGACAACTGCAGAAATTATTTGAAAAATTTCGCTCCATGGCCCAGTGGGAGAATTCAACTTTTGCCTGACATGTGTATGGATGCCTGTGTGCCAGTCTTTTGAAGCTTATGGGAGTTTTAAAACGATAATAACAGAAAATT